AAAAAAAAAAAAAAAAAAAAAAAAAAAAAAAAAAAAAAAAAAAAAAAAAAAGGAAAAAGAAACTGTCTGTCCTAGGGCGGACACGCAGGGTTTGGTGTTTAACAGAGGATGGACGATTTTGTTACTGGCGTTACGTACAATTAGGGTTTTTTACGTACTCTTTTTCGTATGTTTGTTTTGTTGAGCCTTTTTTATAATGTGAGGGATGCCGGACCTGTTTTTCGGCTTTTATAATTCAAAAGCAGCCGTCGTATGAACCAGGCCGGAGTGCCTGGATCATATGCCATTTGGCAGCCAGTGTTCTGGTAAAAAAAAAAAAAAAAAAAAAAAAAATGTCTGTGCTTTTGTGTTTTGTTGATTTTCCGAGTTTTCATTGGTGACCGCGAGTCGAAGCATACAGCTAGGTACCAATGGCAGCCTAGGTACGGCATACAGCGTGTTGACCAAAGAAGGGAGACATCCAAACACACAACACACAGAAGGAGGTGAGAAGCTGAGGGGGGATAGCGGGAGAGGTAGGAAAGAAGAAGGAAGAAGAAAGGAGACGAGGACGGAGAAGAAGAAAGAGGAAGAAGAAGGGACAGTACGCAGTAGTAACAAAAATCCCGAGCGCGACTGTCAGCGAAAAATGTAGCATGAAGTACTGGCGGAAATGACCCGACGTTTCGGCCGGCCGCCACTGGACCTCTTCAGGGGTCTTCAGTTCGCGGAGGGTGCTTTGCTAACCGCAAAAACACCAATATATACTGTGCATACTGCTCCTAGACCAACATGATATCCTGCCTCGAACCGTCGTCTATAGTACCACAGAGCCAATCCTCCGCAACCGGACCAAAGATTAATCCACCGAACCTCACACAGCATTCCTATGGTATTAATGCAAACAGTCCCGCCCAGACCGAAATCGTATTCACCAATCCTAACCAACCAAACAACTGTGAGTTGCCTACGAAACTGAGAGACCCGACTAACCAACATTGGCATGGTCCCATAGCTAAAAACCACATCCTAGAGTGCCTCCGTATAAGTCCAACGGCAGACAACCCCAAAAAAATCCATCCCATGGTTCAACTGCTGCAACTTACATGATGTGCATGTCGTCTGCAACCACACAAACCAAAAACAAAAGTAGACCTTTCGCGGAACTCCATCGACAACAGTGTCAAGCTCTTCCCCGAACATCCGGTAAGTAGAGTCAAGTTCGACCCACTTGTTCAACATACGCTACCAGAAATGGTATCAGTGGTTCCCAATTCGTCTCTCCTCATATGGGGAAACTGTCTCCATCCTGTAAGCACAGGAATCCATGCATCCCAACGATCTGCAAATTTCCGAGAGAAGTTACAAAGAGCACGATCAAAACAGTCATCCGGATATCCTCTTAGCCACAACTCATGTTTTAAGGTAAGCAAAAAATGGAACTCGAGTACGGGAATCGAGGTATACGTACGAGCCCGGTGAAAGAAAGAACCGATGACAGCCAGTTTTTGCTGGCGACTAGAATAGGATGAATAGTCCTGAATGCATTGGAAAAGGAGAGACTGTCCAACTTCCCGTAGCTGATTCTTGTGGGTCGCACAACATACAATCCGCCCAGGATTACTTAAAACTAACACCTCACAGCCAATGAATTCCCAACATTGACTGGAGTTAGTTTGCTCCAAAGTCAATCTCGCATCGTAGCAGCTACGAAAGGATTCCAGCAGACGTTTCGCATTGCATCTAGAGATGGCATCATTGGATCGAAATATGATAAAGAGGGAAACATCATCAACAAGGTGGCATCAACGCACAAGCGATCGGTCACACCCGATAGACGAGAGGAAAGAAAACTCATTATGGGCGCACGGGAGACAAGCCAGGGCAGGGCTAGTGGTTTGACCCATGGGAATGCCGACAACATGACGAATGATGCTTCCCGCAGCAACAATATAGGTGTGATCAAAAGCAAAGTCAACAAAGGACAGGATGGTATCGAACCCCAATCGTAACCATCCTTCTTCCCCTCGACCTTTCGTCAGTCTCACCATCCTACCAAATCTTCGAACAAGCACCGCCTCAACGCCTTCACCAGTCCAGTAATCGAGGATCCATCGAAGTGATCGCAGGATGGCCTCGTGCGGTGGGATCGAGAACGTTTCTTTGATGTCAAAGGAACCTCCCAGCAGCTCATCACCCTTCTTCAGCAGCTTGTTGGTATCTGCAATCCTTCGCATCAATTCATCCGTTCGACGTAGGTTGAAGTGTAGGTTTCCAGGAAGTTGCCACAGTAGACAGTTGATCGCACGTGCCACACGCTTCGCGCCCATCATAGATCCTTCCGAGTGCGAAGGGCAAATAGGCCGCCACCGTGAAATGTCTTTATGCTTGGCCAAACAGTAAGCACGTCCTAGCATAGCATTCTTCTTCCACCCTCCAATCTTCAAGAAACCATGATCCTCGTACAAACGTTTACAACTGGACAGAATCTCTGCTTCAGAAACCGTAGATCTTTCAAACGACGGATTGTCCAAAAACAACTTCTTCATACCTCGCCAGGGTGTCACCTGGATTGTGATCCAGGGGTGAGAGCACCAACCCACCCAACTTATCGGGAACTTCCTTCACATCATCAACGCTACAGGTGTCAGCAGAGGGAGCCAGGAAGGAGGAAGACCGGAGAAGACAAGAGGCCAAGTCAGAGGAGCGGAGAGTCAGAGGGTCCAAGGGGGGAAGAGAAGACGATTCAAATGATCTCACGATCTGTCGTTTGAGATTTTGGAGAGGATGGGAGACCGAGGGCCATAGAACATTCCGGGAATTCAACATGCTTTGAGGGAGATCATCACGCGAGGCAAATCGGAAAATGACGTGTCCATTATCCCGTGGGAAACACTCGTCTACTTCCATACAACAACAAGTAAAAACACTATTCCTAGCCGTGGTCCGAAAATTGTATACGACGTCACCAACAGACTGATTACGACAAAAAACCACCCTCATCCGCCGAATAACCATCGCCTTCCAGGAAGGTTCTGATACAAGTTTGCCGACGAAGTGGGAGCACAACTTGCGAATAGCCGTTTTACAAAGATGATGATCGTACGTGATCCGGATTACCAATCGTTCCATCACTGACACACCAAACCTAGCAGTCACTACCTTGGACAGGACAGTCCGAAGTCGACCTCGAGAACGTTTGTCCAGGAAACAACGAATAGAAGAGTAGGCATATATAAGTTGGCCAAAGTCCCAAGTTTGCAGAACCCTGCGGGATGGAGGCGAGCTGAGAAAGCCTGCGAGACAAGGTTTCAACGAGAGGGACTTACAACAGAAAGGTACAACAGTGTCAAATTTCAAAACCGTACCACCCTTCAACCATCCACGGGAACGTCGAAGCTGATCACGTCCAAACTGACAGGAGACGATAGATGAACCATAACACCGCTTGATCACCTTCCAGTTATCCAACAATACAGATCCACCACAATAGACGATGAGAATCAAAGAGAGAGATAGATCACGACAGTGATTAAGCACCTTGAGCAAACTACACGATGGGTCACTAGCAGACGGATGGAAACTAACCAACGATCGTTGAGATACCAAAGAAGGCACACAATTAACTGCTACCACAAGCCTTCCCGCGACACATGCCCTTTCTCTTTTACCAGGTCGCCGCTTGCGATGCCTCTTGGGTTTGTCACGAGCATTAAGAGAGGCCAAGAAAAGGCAGATGAAGAATTTCTCGGTAGTTTCGAGATCAGCGAGTGGACAACAGCAGACGGGAACCGCTACATACTTACCAGCGCCACATCTCCGCAACCAACGGTAGAGTCTTTCGTTCCGCCTGCCTTTCTCAATAACAGTGACATCGCATGCCCGATAAACATGCTCCCTCCATCGCGTAGACAATTCACGCCTGGCACTGCCTACATACAGATGCTGACACCAGCGAGAACAAAGGACATAGACTAGAGGACCGTTGACCACGCCGCCTGGCTTCCACCAATGAGATAGGTAAGGGAGCAACTTGCAATCCCAAGGAATAACTTGTAATAGAATAAGCGCAATCACCACAATACGAAATAAAGAATCAAGATTCTTGAGCCGAAGGTTACGACTGAACACAGATCGTAGATGAGAGCAAGAGAGGGCTATAGACCAAAGCGTAGCCGCACTCGGGAGGGACCCTAGGACGTGCCTGAGTCTCTCCCATCACTCTTACCATCTGCCTGCACGTCATCACTGTGGTCATCGGATATCTCCTCAACCACCGCTTTCTTACCAAAGGCGCGATCCGCACGTTTGGAGATGATCTCAGCAACAGTCTCTGTCAGCGTGGTGTACTTAACACCCTCCTTCATGCAGATCTCCATGACGTCGTCCTTCTTGAGGTTGCAAAACTCTTTCCGTGCCTCCCGTAGAAACGCATCACAATCATTGTCACGACCATCATCATTACCCCCAACACCTCGCTTCTTCTTAGTAGTCTTGGAGCTGGTTCCTCCAACAGCTGTATCTGCTTCGTCCAGTCGTTCACGGAAGGAAGACACCGGCGTGCGTTTCACCTTGTCACGTGCAGCCAACTCTTCCTTAAGTTTGGCATTCTCCCTCTCCACTTTTGCACGACGTTCCTTGAGTCGTTCGTTCTCCTGCTCCGCTTCTCTCCTCCAGTTCATTTCCTGAAGTCTCAATCCTTTCAGGGCGTCAACCTCCAGATTATGCAGCTGCTGCAGCTTGCTAGCATCAGCACCCGATCGTTCCTTGCGGGGAGCTGGAGTAATCGTAGGGGGCATCTTGAGCCCAGAGGAAGGTGAGGTGGCCAGCCTGCTGCGTTTGTTACCCGATTTGAGCGCTTCATTTTTCCAAGTTTCGACCTCCTGCAAAGCTTCCTCCCGAGACTGCTTCAGCGTGCGTAACTCAACTTCCAAGGAGAACCTCGATTTCAAATCCTCGTGCTCCTGAAGTACCCTAGCCAATAGGGCATCATTACCTATGGCCGGGTTACTAGTGGAAGCACCAGAAGTCCCCTGCCGTTGACTGATCTTGAGGTCTTCAATCTGTTTCTTCAACTTCTCCAGTTCATGATCAACACGGTTCGAATTGCTCCGCAAAGCTCCACACGCAGATTCGAACTTGGCATGCCACTCATCGCTGAGCTCTTTCTGGAATCGTTCTCGTTCCTGTTTCTCCTTAAGTCTGCGCTCCTCCTCTTCCTGCATCTTCTGCAGCCACTCCTCTTCCTGTCGCTTGGCTAACAGTTTAGCCATCTCCGCATCGTACCAGTTCTTCAGTAACGCCACATGTTCTTCAAGTACAGCAACCCGCTGATTGGTGTGGAACCAACCACTTCCTTTGACATACTGCCTGTTTGTATTAGTCGTGGCTGAAGAGGTCGCCACCATAGTTGAGGTAGAAGCAGCAGAAGGAGCATTGTGAGGGGGAGGTAGTGGGGGTAGAGGTGGAGGAGGAGGAAGACTGGGGGGCGCCGAAGCAGGGGCTGGGAGGGCAAGTAGAGGCGGGTTAGATGCAGCAGGCGCAGCAGGATTTTGTCTACGAGGGCACCATCTGGCAAAGTGATTGGGGTCACCGCAGTTATAGCAAGTACGTATGCTACCCGTAGGAACATTTGCCATAACGCCAGACTGTAGAGCACGAAGGGAAGTGAAGCCACAGAACCAGTAGTCTAACTCCTACGGTGGTTACTCCGTGAGACAAAGTGTGTACAGTCGAAGCATACAGCTAGGTACCAATGGCAGCCTAGGTACGGCATACAGCGTGTTGGCCAAAGAAGGGAGACGCCCAAACACACAACACACAGAAGGAGGTGAGAAGCCGAGGGGAGATAGCGCTGATCATAGCGGGAGAGGTAGGAAAGAAGAAGGAACAAGAAAGGAGACGAGGACGGAGAAGAAGAAAGAGGAAGAAGAATGGACAGTACGCAGTAGCAACAAAAATCCCGAGCGCGACTGTCAGCGAAAAATGTAGCATGAAGTACTGGCGGAAATGACCCGACGTTTCGGCCGGCCGCCACCGGACCTCTTCAGGGGTCTTCAGTTCGCGGAGGGTGCTTTGCTAACCGCAAAAACACCAATATATACTGTGCGTACTGCTCCTAGACCAAACCCTACAAGCAGCAGAGGTCAGGACAAACCAACGTGATATCCTGCCTCGAACCGTCGTCTATAGTACCACAGAGCCAATCCTCCGCAACCGGACCAAAGATTAATCCACCGAACCTCACACAACATTCCTAGGGTATTAATGCAAACAGTCCCACCCGGACCGAAATCGTATTCACCAACCCTAACCAACCAAACACCTGTGAGTTGCCTAGGAAACTGAGAGACCTGACTAACCAACATTGGCATGGTCCCATAGCTAAAGGTCGAAGTGCCTGGATCATGTCATAAAGGTCGCTCCTTGTTTCACTTTTTTGGAAAGAAGCCATTTTTTAATTATTATTATCATTTCCCCCCCCCCCAAAGAAGCCAGTATAGGCTTTGCTTTTTTAGGGTCTGTTTTTCGTTGCTTTTTCTTTAGGTCATTTGCATGTAATGGATTGTAGGGTTGGCTGTTCACATTGGGATCGTTGCCCTTTCTATGATGCGAGGGACACCGGATCCGTTTTCCGGTTTTTATAATTCAAAAGCGGCTGTGGTATGAACCAGGCCGGAGTGCCTGGATCATACGACATTGGCTGCCTTTTTTTAACCAAAAAAAAAACAAAAAACACCTCGCAATAATATTGTCCAACGCGACAGACCACAGGCCTCAATGTCTTGGCTTAGAATTGTGTTTTTTTTTTTCCAGCCTTTTGACTACACCATACAAACAACAATTGAATATTAAAAAAAAAAAAAAAAAACAATTGAATATTTATGGCAAGACCAGTATGGATTCTTAAACAACGTATATTCTCTACTGAAGGTTTAGTTCCTTCTCAGGCAATCTAGTGCCGCGTGGATTCTTTTTTTTTTTTTTTTTTGCGTGATTYTTTTTTTTTTTTTTTTTTTTTKGCAKRSTKYMWTYTKTWTTTGAGCTTTTATCCATTTGATGACTGTAGGTGTGTAGCACTGTGTACGGGTTAATAGAACCAGTGGCAGCACCTAATTGGGTCCAGTTTTGTCTTCTTCCTTTTTTTTTTAATAGCAGCCTTTTTTTTCTTTTTTTTTTAATGTGGCCGGATGGGCCACAGATCAGAACAGATACCACACTTTGGGCCCGGCTGCACTACTTTCGAAATGTGCAAAACGAGAGTGAATCTTCCGCTCGAATATGGACAGATACATCGCCATGATTTTTGTCTGTTGTGCATGTCGAGAGTAATGCAGCGAGGCCCTTTATCTGAGCCAGCTTTTGTAAGGGACGCCAGGCCCCATTCCTGGTGCTGAAATACAAGGGACGTCGGGCCCGGTTCCCGGATGTTTAAAAAAAAAAAGGCCGACAAAGGTATTATAGCAGCCTTTTCTCATAACTATTTTCTGTTGTTTTTTCCCCTCATTTGCCTTTTTCAAGGTGGGTTGGGTGTGAAGGGACATGTATGAAAAGTGGGAAACACATTTGGACGTCTCGTTCATCTCCAGATATGGTGCCTGAGGTTCTTCGCCACTGGATCAGCAGCTTGGAGAAGCTTGCTGGACTTCGCGAGCTCAAGGTTCGCCTTCTTTCCTTGTTTTTTTTTTCCCTTTTCCCTCTTCCTCTGCTCCTTTTTTGATAATCTTTCATCTCCTCCTTAGATGTTTTTTTTTTTTTTTTTTTTTTTTTTTTTTGGTGGGGGGGGTTGGAAATGTTGAACTTGTGGCAACCTATTACCTTATTTCGTACTTGAAGTCTTAAACCACCAGTACTTGGCGAAAGTCGCAACCGTCAATATCTGATCCATGGTCCATCGGGCCACATTATTATTAAAAAAAAAAAAAAAAAAAAGTTGCAGCGGTTAACACGACACGTCAATGATGAATGAACGGGCCATGACGAGATCGCCCAAATTCATCCAACTAGAAACACTTCTACTCTTTTTCTTTTTCCACAGCCAGTGTATGGGAAATGTACTGGTGGTTTAAGCACATTGATCTGATGTAGAAGATTGTCAGGACAGGAAAATTTAGTATGACTGTATGACCCATGGGGATGGCTTGCAGATTTGCACCATATTTTTTGGGGGGGGAGAACTTTTTTTGTTTTTTTTTAAGGAAAAGATGCCTTCTCCTCTTTTTTTTTTTCTTTTTTTTAAAAACAACCAAGCGGAAGCTAGGGGTGCTGGTAAGAGCAGACACCGCTAGCACCGCCGGGGAGGCTCCATCTATTGGTGGGGAGCAGCACCTGCTGGAAATCGGGTCCAGCGTCCCTGAACATTGTACTTACTCATGTGATCAATCATGCATTTGTGTCAACATCAAGCCATCAAGCTACCAAGCTACCGGGCTAACCTGTTCTGAATGAAGTTCAGCCATGGCTTGTTAGTATTCATGATGGACTGGGGTGTGAATGATCCAGCGCTTTATCAGCTCTTTAGATATTTATGTACTTTCTATCTACCATTCTTGTCGTGTAGCAAAGCTGTACAGGTACCCGAATTGCCAATGTTGTTGACAGTCAAAAATACATCTGAGCACTGTGGGAGAGTCTGATCAGCTGTCCAAAATGCCCATGCAGTTGACTGTCTAATGATAGAAGGTGGCTGTGGTTGTTGTTGTTACAGTTGTGAGATTACATGTAGTCTATGTGACACCTGCGGCCTCGGCCGCGGGCATTTCGGCCGCTGCGGCCGAGATTCTCGGCCGCGGCCGATGAGGCCCAGTCCGCGGCCTGTTTTTTTTTTTTTTTTTTAACCCCTAAAAATACTTCAAAAAAAAAAA